TGGGGTGGAAGGCGCCTGGGCCTCCCGTACGATGCACTAGAAACGCCCAGCTCAGACTTGCCCCAGACTCCAGGAGCGAAGGAGGAGGAGGAGGGCAGAAGACCCCGCGCCTTGTGCGGGCATAGGAGGTAGCGGGACGGCGGCAGGGGAACAAGAAACGAAGGAAAACATACAAACGCCTTGCTAAAGACACAGTCTGGCAACGTGGGAACATAAGGAAAGACCATGTATCTGCACAGGAACACAACTATGTCTGTGTTTTGTTTCTCCTGCCATCAAGCCATAAAATAAGCAAGGGGCAGGAGAAGTCTGAGAAAGACAGGGCTCTCTAACAGGCCTTGGTACGGTTCCATAGGATTAAAAAACAAAATATAAAGCATGTGTGACAGCCCCAAATCAACCATATCTTCCTATACAAAGTTATTTTGGAGGGTAGTCTTTCTCCAACAGCAAATATGTGAGATAGAAACAGAAAGAGCCTGAACTTCCCTGACCCACAGGGAATAAGAAGTAAACAGTAAAACAAAGCTAAAGAGCAATTTTAGACTTCGATTTACTTGGCCATTTTGCCTAATTTTGGGCTGCAACTATAGTCAGAGTCCCAGACTGGATCCTTTGTGGAGGCGCACTGGAAGCTCTCTGAAATCCTGAAAGCGGCAGGTGTGGACGATGTGAAGGACCAGATCATAACACGCAGTTACATCCTGCCCCCCTACTTTGCAAAACCAGAGGAAAGACTGCTCTAGAGCAGCAGCTCTGTGTACACCCGTTTTTAAAAAAATGTAAGAAACACAAAATCACTTTGCAATTCTACCAGTTGTTAAAATCTGGGGGAAAATAATGGCCAGAAAATGAGGGGTCTGCATAAAATGTGACCTAACAGTGAGGAATTATATCTGCACAAATGCAGGCCAATAACTGCATTTCTGGCCTGAAAAGAGGACAAGACGATTGATTTTTCTTTGCACAAAGAACTACAGTCTCCAAACATCTCTCATGTGGGATGGAGGTGCCAGGGGCAGTAAAAAGACACCCCCACCCCGCTCCAAAACCCCTCAGTGAAGAAGTCCCTGCCACATTTCACCCTCAACTGGAGACAGCACACTGACTGTGTTCATCATTCTCTTTTTGTTTCTTCAGAAGCAAGAGATTAAGAAATTTCCCATATCTATGATCAGAAGAGAACGCTGCCTGCAGCTTCACAAGCCAGTGGTCACCCAAACTGACGAGGGGAAAGAAAACAGAGCTCAGCAGACACCCTCGTTCCACCTACAGCGGCTCTGCCAGGGACAGTCACTTCACTCAGCTTTAACCGTACATGGAGCTTGCAGAAAATGAGGAGGATGCAGTAGTTAAAGCAGAGTCTGGTTCTTTCGCTCTCCTGGCCTGAGCACAATCACATCCCTATCGTCCTTGTCAGGGATCCAAATCAAAACAAATCATTTGCTTTCCTGTCTCCCCCAGACCCTCGTGCAAGCTGAAGACAGGACCACGTTTGCCCCCAGCAGGAAGGAGGCTGGGGCAGGCAACCAGGCAGCCGTGCGGGGATTTCAACTAGGGGTTGGTTACCACCAGCCAACCACCAAGCTCCCTCCCCTGTGCCATCCTGCGAGCCAGCTGGTTATCTGGAGATTCAGCCTTCACTGTGGTGCTAGTTTGCGTTGTTTCCGTTCAGTCTACAGTCACCAAGAGGAATTAAACGCAAAGGAAATGTTTTTTCTTAAGAGTAAAGCATAGCTCAGAAAGCTTTAGAATGAGCTTGTTGTAAAATACCTCCGCTTTCTCCACCTCAGTGTTGCGTGTTGCACGCTGCACATGCAACAGCAGCGATCCTGTGATCATCTACAAATTCTGGAGCGCAACAGCAGGAGACGAAACCTAACCTCACCGGTGTGATACCGTGAGACTTCAGAGCTGGCCCTGGTGCAGGCTCTGTTTATCGTGTAGATGGACTGTGCAATCCCTTTATCTTCTGTTTACCCACCTGTGAAACGAGGAGAGCGACACTGACGTACCAAAGACAGCAGGCTGCGTTTGCCAGGGGGAGGAAATATACTGTGAACCTGTAAATGACTGGTGGGAAGGATGAGAGATTTTGAGCTCTGTGACTGTTTCCCTCTGGGTGATTTCTCCACGGCCATCCTCTCCAGCGGCTTCACGTGCCCTGCCCCATTCAGCCCGCGGAGCTCACGAGGCCTCGCCAGCTGCCCGCTGCCTGAGGAAGGGCACGATCCCCGGCGCCCACCCAGCGGACGCTGCTCCCATTTCCACCGTCACCAAGGGCAGAGCGCGAGGCCCTCGTATGGCTCCAAGACTGTCACCTCTACATAGCTGACGACTTTCCAATAGTTTCTCTTTCACTTTTTCCAAGAAACCTAGACACTTCCATGAAGAAGATAAGTGATCTGAGAATATTTTTATTTGCTCTTTTCTATTGCAATGTCAGTGAGAAAAGAATTTATCACCATGGCTGCAAATACAGGATTTTCTGAAACACTGCTGCTATTAAGAAGAGAGAAAAACGTGATTACACTGAATTGAATAAAATCAGTTGGAAATGAGTCTTCCCAAAAAACGAGCGGTAAAGTGAGCCTGCTCTCTCCTAGCCATGATGCAGGCAGCCAGGGACAGCTGGGACACGCGTCCCCTCTGGCCCCGACAGCACCTTTGCTGTTCTTAACGCAGGCTAGCCAGAGCCGTTGGCTTGCTCCCCGAATCGAAAAGTCACGCTTGCTTACCCCTGGCAAAGGGGGAGCAGGGGGAAAACAGCAGCAGAGACTTGACAAGACAGCAGCGCATCTTTCTTTGCTAACAGGCTGCGGTTCCCTCTGAAAGCAAAATGCTTTTCCCCCTGTGAGAAAGCCCAGTTCTGAACTTGAAAAAGATGCAACAGAGGGAGCAAGGCTATTGCAGCCTTCAGTTGCACACGCAGATTTTTCTAGAGAGATGCAAAACCTTAAGCAGAACAGAGCCAAAGCAAGCCTCTCCAGGACATGGAGAACGTTTTTGTCAATTTTGACGTTTAGTTAATTTTGGTAAAGTGAAAGGGATTTCCCTTCATTCTGTTGTGAAATTAAAAAGTACTGAAGAGATGGTAACATGGCCATCAGCAGTGTCACAGAGTAGTAGAAACTCTTGGTATTTTAATATGTTTCTCATAAGCCTTTTCTATGCTTAGAGGCCAAAGTGGTTACTTAATTGTTCTCATTCCCCTTAACTTCTAACTGGAGCCCTTCAGGCCACAAGAGCCTCTTGGATAACGGCAGTCATGAGAAGAATTCGCTCTTCCCTGGAAAATTCCCACCCTCCGCATTCAAAACAAGAGGGCAGAGGCCAGTAAAATAATTATTTCCAAGAGGGAGTTGCTGTTCTAGTAGCCTCAGAGGATGAGTAAAAGGGCTGGAA